ACCCTGAAGTCTCGAGTAGACAAAAGCATCGACCGCATTTGCCAGTTAGAGGGCACGAGCAAGGTTTTTGTAAGTTTGGTGTTATTTTAAATCTTTGTTAACTAATGGCCAACAAATTGCGTGTTAAGTGCTGGTCAACGGTGGCGTCGACTCGGTAGTCAGTGCCACTCTCCTGCAGAAGGCACTCAAAGTCGACCAGGTGATTGCTCTGTACATTGACAATGGCTTCATGCGCAAGAACGAGAGTATCCTGGTGGAGGATTCACTGAAAAGCGTCGGTCTCGCCATGATAAGTATGTCAATGTAGTGTAACGCTTAGCAAACTCTAAATTGACCTTCCTTACCTCATTTTTGTAGCTATCAAGGCCTGGCTGCAATTCTGCAACGCCACAACAACAATTTCCCTCTCAAAAGAGGAACCGAATAAGAAAGTGGTCACAAAGGTGCTCTGCCAGACGACGGTTCCGAAGGAGAAGCGCCACATCATCGGGGACACCTTTTTCCGCATTCTCAACGACATCGTCTGCGACCATTTAAAATCCAATTTAGAGCAAACAGTTTTTTTCAGCCAGGGAACCGCTTTCAAAGTACTAAACATGGGTGACCCTCCCGCTAAATCAGCAGAGAGCACTACAAACGAGGACGCCATAAAGACGTACCCGCAGCTTGAGACTAAACTGGCGAAGAGCCTGCAGANTGTCGAGCCGCTGAAGGACTTTTATGAAAACGAGGTCTATCTCATCTTTGGCAGCGACTCTGTCTTCTCTCTTGATGACTGGATCTTCAACAACGCCGGCCACTCGTTGCCCATTTTCGGCCACCACGAACGCTACCCGAAGGAGCTTTGTGAGACGCCGAGAGTGCTGCCAGTCAACAAGTGAAATGCTTCCACCACTTTATCATCATCATCTACCAAAGATTTGCCTGATCAGGAACAAGTGCCAAAGAACAAAACAACAATCATTACTGAAAAAAGTGTCGCACAGCAGTGCTGGTCACTGGTAAAGGGGGGGGAGGGGTAAACAATTCTCAACGTTTGCTTTGTTGTCGCCAATTGAACTAGATCTTGAATCTTTCATACAATTAACAGCAAGTGCAAATTGCACTTTTACAGAAATTGACAAGATTTGCCTTTTTCAAGCATTGTCAACGCATAAGTTTAATTGTAACAGTTGCTTACATGAGAAAGAACAAGAGCAAAAGTAAGGCGAGTGAGCCCAGCAGCCAGGTAGCACTCAAGTAAGTGGACAACTTAGATTAGTGCGAGGTGGAGTTTTATTGAAACACTGCTCAAGAAAACAGCAGCATTTTACCTGCCCACACGCTGCTCAATGTAGCCCTCTACCTCACCTGCCATTGGGCAACAGAGCCACACTGATCTCTACGCCTTTTGTTCTTCTTACTTCAGCGTTTTTTGAATCATCGCTAAAATAAACAGCGCCATTGTACAAGAAACTTTCACTTTCAGTTGAGCAGCACTGCTGGTGCAAACACCTGTGCTGTTGTACCAAAAACAATGTTTTGGTCGGTTTTCTCTTGACCCTGTTTGCGATGCATGTTTGTACCCTGTTTGTCCGTTGTCTGGCAGTTGTCTGACACTTGCAATTTTCAGCGTCGTTTGTTGCCTATTCGTCCAATTATTACCAGTCGACCACGCTTGACACTTTACTTCTGGTTGTTCAGCTGGGGCCAGCTCTCACAGCCGTTTGCAGACAGAGGGGTGCTGAGGTCTTGATCAAGACTAAAATTCTGCAACCATCAACTGCTTTGAGGCCCTTTTTCAAAGTATGTATACATTTGCCCTACGTAGTTCTGTCCATTCAGATTAAGAATAACAATTAAACAGAAGATGAACCACAGTGCCATTTGGCAGCAAAAGGAAAAATGTGCTTTAAAGAAAAAGCTTTGTTTCAGAAGAGTCTCAGCAATGACCGGAGAAGATCGCCCATCTANTGTACACACATATGATTCTCCCAAAAAGCAATCCTCTTGTTTAGCTAATACTGATAATATTGATTGGAGGATGGAGTTTTTGTCTTGGTGACGTCATCACTGTAAAAGAAGGGCAATAGTTCTCGTAACTGCCGCTGTACAGGCAGAAAGCTGTTGCAATGCCATTGCCAGCAACACTTCACTGCGACAAACTACGAGTTGCATCGTCGTGTGGACTCTTCTTTTGCTTGACAGTCACTCACTCACCGAAAAAGTAACTTTTGCCATCACTTGGCCACTGTCATTCACTCAGTCACCTCAACAACCTTTGCCTTTATTTATCTTCCTTTGTCGGTGAGTCTCTTGTCACACTGTTTTTCTAAGAATTCTCGTTTTTGTGGCAGTCATTTGCAGTGATTTCAGGAAGCTGCTGACTGGCTAGATCCATTTTCACAGCTTCAATGTAAGCTGATCCAGTCGTGACAAATCACTGCAATGTGATCTGTCTACAGTGCACCGAGCAAACAAAACTTTTCTCTACTTTACCTGCTGCAAACATCCTTTTTCACATTATCTTTTTCTAAATTTTGCCGAAACTTCACAATGGCTCGTACCAAGAAAACTGCTCGCAAGTTTACCGGTTTCAAAGTCGCCAGCAAAATTTGGGTAAGTGGTCAAAGAAGGGCTAAGTTCAATCCTTGCATCCTACTTTTCATCTGATTTGCCTTTGTTGATAATAGCCGCCAAACCTGTTCGTATGTCAGCCCAGGTGACTGGTGGCGTAAAAAAGCCCATTCAATACCGTCCTGGAACTGTGGCCTTTTGTGACATCCGCCAATACCAGAAGTCCAGCAAACTGCTTCTCCCCAAACTCCCTTTTAAGCGTCTGGTGATAGAGATCGCCCAGGATATCAGAGTTAAGGTGCGTTTTCAAGACGTTGCCATTAATCGTTTGCAGGTAAAAAAGACCAAGGCAAACGTTGTGCACACGACACGACTTACTCATTGTCTCATTTGTTTTCTCTTCTGAAAGCCGCTGAACATCACCTGTTCGACTTTTTGAAGGACGCCAATTTGTGTGCCTCCCACGCCAAACGCGTCACTCTTCTGCCCAAAGACATTTAAACTGACTCGTCACATTTGAGGAGAGTAAGTGAGCGAGTGCCCAGGTGCTTCTATCACTTTTTTCCCATTGTCTTGAACAGCTCAAAACTAGACCGCATCTATTTTTACTTTTTGTTATTGACTTACACTGTAAAATTGTCTAAGTATACCAAACACCAAACTACATCAGCACAAACAATTCCGTACAGCGTTTTATCTAAACTAGATGTACATTCACCAGTATATAACACAACTTCCAAAAATTACAACTAAAACCCCATTCTTTCAATACGCGTTTTGTTACTCTGCTACTTCCATCTTTCCTAAAACCTGTTTACACTTCAAGAAATATACGAGGAAGCTACGCTTTCTTCAAATAAAAAAGCAAAACTGCATGTGATCTACAAACGGAAATTTGAAATATATAAACACCCTGAAACATACACACACACAGAGAGAAGAACATGTAAACACACAGTGTTAAGTTTTTTTGCTACTATTTTTTATAAAATGTAAAATAAATTGAATGTTATATTACAAATTAATGGTACTCTAACACAGAGAGAGAGGGAAACAGGAGCGCCCCGAGAAAATTCGTACTCTAAATCGTCGTTCACCATCTCCTCCTTCACTTGGCTTTGCTCCGTTAGACAAACAAAACACACCAAGATGAAGATCACGGCATTTATAACATTTCTTGGGAGAAAAACAATTGGCCGCAAGATGGCAAGGTTTCACACAAAAAAACACAAGTTCAGTTCTTTCATAATTCTCACTTTCTCAACACGTGGCATTTCTGGACAAAAAACCATACTGTGTTCAGTGTTCCCACATTTCTGACAAGGTCCTCTTAAACGTCTATCAACAGTAGTCCGGCTGATATAGGTGCAGCCGGTCCGCTATGGGCAGACGATCGGCAACCAGGTTGATCATCTCCGGAAGGAGGTTGTTTAGGAGAATCTCTGTTCTTGGTTTCGCCTGGGCATCAGCTGTGTGTATTTGTTTAAAAAATCATCAAATCATCAGCTTTCTGAGGCACTGTGTCACGCAAATCAAAAAAGCATCTGAACACTGACCTGATGGCGGCACCGTAGATGCAGTCCTGGCGCCTGATCTCTTTTTTTGGAGCAGTTTTTCCGCTTTTCTTATTTGCATTGTTTCGTTTTTTGAAGACATTTTGTTTTTTTGGTGAAATCTAAAAGTTTAGAATTGATCAGATAAAAGGGTAAAATGTAGTAGTTAGTAACCGTAGTAACTTTAGCTATAAGAAAACTCAAGGTATTTGTGTACTTGCATCGTTCACTTTATGTTGGAAAAAACAATTTAAAGCAATACTGGTGGTTGGAGGATATCAGAGGTGAGGCTAGAGGTAAAGAGTGTTCAGCTGAGATAAAATGTCGCAATTATTCAACTGTCAGTTTTATCGGCGAAGGGAACGCATTTTGATTAAAAAAAGAGCAACCGCTGGGAATCAAAGTAAAAAACAATGAAAAGCAGTGAGACAAAACCAACTGTTACTAGGGTTTGCAGTATCAAAAGATTGTAACAGCCATTTTATTTACAAAAAATTAAGCAAAAGAAAAATGGGCAAAGTTTTAAAGATTTCTAGAATGGTGAAAGAACATGGGAAGAGAATAGCAAAGCATTGACAAAGGCAAACAGCAGTGCAGGCAAAATGGTAGACAAAAAGCAAGTTCACTTACATTGATCACTTTATTAACAATGGAGGGGGAAGGGCAATCTAAAGTGATGCTAGAACTAAAAGATAATTAGTGAACTGGCTAATTAACTGATAAACTAAGGTATACAGGTACTTACATTAGGCAAACTTTGCTTTTGCTGGAAATGGCAATCGGAGATGATTTGAAGTAATCGCAACTGATTAGGGGTGATTAAAGGAGATGCTTAAAGTAAAAGAAGATCAAATAAAGCACAGTGCAATATTTAGCTGCCTTTTTGGCTGGCGAAAAAAACAACGTATACAGTTTACTTACATTGAGCAGATTTTCCTTTTTCTAAAAGGGCAATTGGTAACGGTTTAAGGTGATCTCAGGTGATCTGAAGTGATTGGAAGCGATCCGAAATGAAGAAAAAAGTGAAAGGATTCTTAGATAAGATAATTTGTTCAAAGTGGCGATAGAAAACAAGAGATCGTCGGGGTTTTGAAAAAACAAAAAAAACTATAATTTGTCTAGAAGATGTGGAACAAAACACCAAGTGAGAGGGAGGAAGTGAGCCACGTGAACGCAGCAGCTGCCTTTATTTAAGCCAGCTAAAAAGTAAGCATCAATTTCGACTCACTTTCTTTGCTGAATTAAAAGAGAGGCACAGTGAACACTGCTTCCTGAGCAGTTGAAGTAGCAGCAAAAGAGGGTAGCGGCAAAACACTGGCAATCACCGTCGTTGGCAATGAGGCGAGACGGATAGTTGCTAAGGTTGCTTAGCAACAACAATAAACTGAACAGTTGTTGCCTGAAACAGAACGAGCAGAGGGAGAACGCACAGGATTATAGAGTTTTCTAGAACGGACGCTGAAGAGGCATTGCAAAGCACTGACAAAGGCAACGACAGCGTGGACAGGATAGCGGGCATACGATGACGAGGCATACGTGTACTTACTTTGGTCATTCTATGCAGCCAGTAGAAAGAAAAATTGAAGTGGCTAAAGGCTGAAAAAAAGAAAAATACGTGTAGAAAAAGTGAATAATAATTAAAAACGTTTTTTTAATGGGGACAGTAGTAACCGCATTGCTGAAAATCAGGTTGTAAGTTAGAAAAGTACATAAAAAGAAAAAAGTTTTAAGTTTTCT